AGCCGGAAATGCTAAGCTGCTGCTCCGCCCCAGTCTCCTCCTCCGATATGTGTACTCTTTTAAGCCAACATCCCATATTCTTTCTTTTTTCGATAAGAACAAATAATATAGGCTCAGAGACCTCAACGTTTCTTGTACTGCAGACGACTTTATTTTTTCGGTCACGTTATTTCGTGGATTTCGCTAAGTATGAATTGGGGATTACACCATTTTACGATTAAAAGCGGTTCGCTATGTACTGGCTCCGATCGAGTAATGTATTTGCGTCATAAATATTTCTCAATAGTTTGAGTTAGTCAAATTTGTCAAAATTAGTCATTCGCAAAAATTAGTCAGTTTTAGTATTTGGGGCTTTTGCTGAAACAGTAAAGAACCAGATTTTGTTCTCTAAAAAAAAAGTGAAAAAAGAAAACCAAAACTGCGATATATTTAGAATAGAAGACCTCCGACAGAAAAAAAAAGTTATAGCTGAGAAAAAAAAAAGCTGTTGTTGATGTTCTCTTGTCGGTAAACTACTTTCTAGACAGTTGTTGAAATGAAGGAACCACGTGAGGAAACCAATGGAACAAGAAAATGCCAGCATGCGAGAAGAAAAGCGGCTCGTCTTTCTTCAGTTTTAGTTTATACCCTGTTCAGGCCAAACCTGACAGTGCGGTGAGATCTACCTGCTGGCCGGAACATTCAACCGCCTGACTCCGCCCTCCGCACGTAGGTACGGGCGGAGGCGTAACCACGTGGGAAAAGATACTCCTATGACTGGTCCGACGAGCACGTAGCATCCACGGCACTCTCGGTGCTTTAAGTCCGAGGCTCAAAACGAAGGGTAGCACCAAGAAGAGGGAAGTGGGGAAGAAAGAAAGTGCGGTTCTGCATTTTTTTGTGTGATAGCTAACTGGCCGCCAGACTAATATTTTTTAACCCTAAACGGCGACGTAAAAGGGGGAAGTTCTTTCCTTCTTTCCTCTTGCGGAAAAAAGGTCGAGCGGTAAATTAAGGAGAGTGGAGAGTAAGCTTCATCCTTTCTGCTTGTTGGTCCTTTAAAAGCATGCTCCAAAGGCTCCGGTAGTGCGGTACGCGGAACACGGCAACGGCTTGCTAAAAGTCCCTAATATCCCGTATACGAGCGGTCATCGTCGTCATCGTCGTTCATGACGCTGGTATCAGCATCATAAAGGGCTCTGTATCCGCCCCATCTTGCGGAGCACTGGAGAAGGTGTGCGTTACGCTCCTTGTGCTGGGTAAACGAGCGTTTGGCTGCGTGTTCCACACTGCGCGCGCTCGAAGCCCAAACTGCGTCTTGGATTGGCTTCTGGTAACGAGGCGTATGCGCCGCGGGAAGCTCGCAACGCTAACGCCAACGCACGGCGCGTGCATTTGCTTCGACAGGCCGCTTCATCGTGGGCGGCGCCATTTTGAATACTATAGCGCCATCTATCGAGCGACAGGTTCCGCGGCCATCCTAAGTGGTTAGAAACGTTGGCAAAAGTGCTCTTTGGGGCGCCACTCCTGCGTTAAGTGCGCCGGTTGGGTGCTCTAAAGGGCCGGATATCCGACTGATGGGGTGTCCAAACAGGATACTTCAGAACGCGCGAGGTGACACTTCTCCACCATATGAAGTAAATGTTGAAGTCCGATATTCCGTCTTCTGCTCGGATACCACCAGGCAAACGTCGCGGCTCTCCTCCCCGCCTTCGCCACTTTTCGGTGACCTCGGTACTGGTCAGACTTGACGTCCCACGCCACCTGCCAATGGTGTGCGAGTTGCCTGTCCACCGGTTCTGCCACGCCCTCGTACCCTTCCCTTTTCCGTTTTCGGGACTTTGAAGACCAGTGGAGGCCTTGAGCGATTGACTGATACCCAAAAGAGCTTGTAAGTGGCTGTCCGGACCCACGTGACGAGCACGCACGAGGTCGTCGAGAAGGACACAAGCGGAAGCGGCCGAGGAAAGTCACCGAGAGAAAGCGGAGGTGAGTATTCAAAGCATTGTATTTAAGTTAAGAACAAATAAATTTAACTTCAGATTTTTCTTTTTGCGATGCAATGCATTGAATATATGTTTGGCGTTCCATGTCACCCACAACAATGAAATATAATGCGAACAGGACGCGCGAAATAAAGAAATTGCAGGGGAGCGATTGAAGGCGCGCTCACTGCGGTTTGCAGATGTTTATAAAAATTTTAACTGAAGATTACGTGTCGACGATTGTGTTCTTTGTCGAGAACTAAAAACAGCAAAGTCGAGATGGGCCCATTGCCGGAGCGAGTCGATCAATAATCGAACGATTAGAAATCGATATATGAGCTTGTTTCGGCAATAGCAATTCAAGTTTTCTTTCCAGTTACGTATTGAACTATAGTTTACAAAATAAGGAAAACTCTGTAGTGCTGTGGTCAACATAAATTCACGGCTCTCTACAATCGCGCCTGAGATCGCGATTAAGAAGAACCGATAGAACTAAGTTTTTGACAATTTCTAGCAACGCACGGCGGCGGAAATGAGCCTTCAACTAAGCTTTGTAGATGATAAAATACGAATCACTGTCATCACTGCAAACTATCAGCGTTACCTGCAAGTAATAGCAACCGAAAAGTTACGAGCTGAAACAGCTATTCTCACGAGAAAAATTGCATCCACTTTGCGAGCGTAGCACACACGAGCCCACCCTTGGCACACTTGAGAGAACGTGGAAACGTATTTACAGTTTGCGGACGCAACCCACTGCTGCCAGAGTTTTTGGTCCTTTGGAAAGCGATGGAGTTTGAAGGCATTGAAGCCGCAGTTAGCTTGTCGGTTGTCGTACTCGATACAGTTGTCCTCCGATAGTTCACTGCTCTTTCGGGCGTTAATCGTGCAGCCTATTACCGAAAAATGGTGTCCCAATGAGCAGGGGATGGTCGTCACTGAATCCGTGAGCTCTAGTTAATTCTGGAAGTAACGAAATAGAAGAAACCATGATACAGCAAACAAACTAAGAGCAACACACGCGTCCAAGACGTTCATCCTGATCTTCCGTTCGTTCCTCTAACCACCCAGCAAGGAGGAAAGCGCAGGCAGCCCTTTTCCCCTTTTTCTTTTGCCCCCTTTTAGTAAAACGGTCTATACCAACACCCTCTAGACAGAAGGCCTCCGCACGCGCCATCCCAGCCAGATCGATCGATGCGTGAGATTGGGCACGAGTGCTGTGCCAGTGTTCGGCTGGGGCTCGCGTCCAATCAGCGCGTCGAAGGTCGGTGTCGGGCCCAATAGCCGAGTTAGCGCGATCCGACTCTGACGACATTTCATAGAGGGAGAGGAGACCATGCGTATGCCTTCTTTCTAGGTGGTGTTGTCTGTACACGCCATACAAACGGTCTATCATGTCCGACAGCAGCGAACGCTACCATCTGATGGTGCCAATCAAGCAGCGTCAAAGTGCTTCGTCACGGCGTAGTTTTGCGTCTTCTACCATCGGCTAAACGCGTCACGCGCAGGAAAAATCACAGGATCACGGGGCTTCACTACGCTTGATTGGTTTAGCCTGAAATAGGTGACGCAGTTGGTGGAAGCGTCGGTTAGGATCGGTCTCAGGCCGCGTTCACACTTGCGAAGGACTCTCTTGTCGCCGAGCGAATTGACTGGGCGAAAAAAGACGGAGCCGTTCACATTTGTTGCCGCCTGTCACGTCCGCGCCGCTCCGGTTTGTGGCGGATATCAGAGCAGACTGCCCCTGGCTCGCTTGGTGTTTAAATAATGTGAGCCATTCCACTCTGCGAAGGCGGTTGGCCGGCGAAACTGTAGAGCACCACCACACATGATTCACCGAGAGAAACACACAAGCACTTCACCAAATGCTTATTTACACTATATGTAGATCATTTAGAAACGGTAGTGATGATTGCTTCGTGATCACTATAATATGCACTAATGGGTTGCGTTACAACACTGGTGAGACTCTTTGCTAAAGTTAAATCTATACATATAATGCCTTACATATATAAGAGCTGCTGCTTGTATATATGTAAAGCAGTGACGTCACCAGACTCGAGCGGGAGAAGGATATTATTTTCGGATATGTCTCCCTTATCAGACGTTTCGACATCTTTCCTTATCAAAAGGCATATCAAGGTGACGGGGCGTATAAGCATTTCCATACAATGGAGCGCTTTTACATGTAATTTAGTTTCTGCACACGGATACCAAAAATGCATGGAACCCTAGCCATATACAGCTTCGCTGTAAAAAATGCCCTCGCAGGATTCTCCTTGCGGTTAAAGCAAACCCGCAGTGCCGGGAAAATGCCCAACTTCGTCTCGGCGATACGAGAAGGCAGCAATAAAGCAACGAGCAAACGCAGACAACATGTGTACGTATCACTCACGCCGATTTTATTCAGCAGATCTGCTTTCTCGGCAATGTTTTCGTTGCCTAGATACCTCTTGTCGAACAGGTTTGAATAATTTAGCGTTTCTGCCGACAAAGCGATACCAGCGAGACGGCGCCATTTGCACAACCCGAGAATTCCGACAATTCCGGCGGAGACCCCAACAACTCGGGCGATTCGGCCAGGATGTGGCGCCAGAAAGCGCCATTTCCTCCGTGCGCTCCGATTCGCTGCGAGGGCGTGGAAGCGTTTTCTGCGCGGGACAAATCGGTCCCAGAGCGATTGCTCCCGCGATCAAATATTCCGTCACCGACGAGGGGATTTCCCCTTCTGGCGTCGATTTCCCCGCGGATTCGCCTGCGAATCCGCACATAAGAACGAGCTATTACCCTGAAACGGAGATTAAAGCACATGGATGGCGTCTCTATTCACTTGATGTGTGACACGCGGGAGTAATTCGCTCCTCTACTCAGCAAGACGCGCGGATGACACTCGGTTCTATATTCAGTGAGGAGACGAGTGCTATGTTCCGCTGGCACTTGCGTCTTCTGCTTCAGCCACTGGAGTGAGAAGGTGCCAGCAACGGAAATCCTGTGTGGAATCAGTGAAGAACTTGGCTACCAGACGACCACATCGAGATTTTATTCCAAAATAGAGCAGCTCCGAGTTTGATGGCCAAAGTGATGCTCGGGGTTTTGTCTTCACTTCAAGGCCGACCATTTCTGCACCTGCCACTCGGTGACAGCTTTCGTCTCAGCAAAGTGAGGCATCTGGGCTGACACGCATTCGTAGTAGGAAACCAGTTTAGAGAATTTCTTGCGGTCGAAAACAGGCATCTGTAATGACAGAAAACGGCATTGTCTGAGTATAACATGGAACCGGATTCCACATGGGCGTTCTCATTAAGCTTTGCAAAACCACCGCAGTGTTGCGGACATTCCCTGACGTGTGTATAGACCCGCTGCATACAAGAGAGCAGTGACGCCACCTTCCGCTTTCAAAAACATTCGAGCGATTACATTGCGGAACAGAGAGGTTACACCACGAGACTTCTACCGCTGGGTATTCCGCACGTTCTACGCAGGGTCTTGCACAGGGGTTGCATTGATGCCAGAACGCCGAGCTCTTACTGGCTGATGGAGACCAAAAATAGTAGTGGGTAGACCTCGAGGCCCTCTAGCATTCAGGTCTACCCACTATCCTTTTAATCAGTCAATCAGAGCTCGTCGTCGTTGTGACGTCACTGCAACTCCCGTGCAAGAAGCAGACGACTTGCTTTCCGCATAGTCATTGACAGCTAAAGAAACGCAGGGTGTGACTGAATATGTCCCCACCCTTTGTGATTCGTTCTTCGGCAATTTTATCGGCTCATGCTGGAATCTCATCGGTTGCCGAAGGGTCGCAATATGCTAGGGGGAGACGCGCGGCCTTCATTAGGCTGGCAGTGACAGCGCACTGTACAACACCTTGTGTCAGATCAACATGGAGCATGGCCGCCTTATTTTGTTTTGTCTGTATAACGGAAGTTTGACGCTCAAAAAAACGCACCGTCGCAACCCTGATGTAAGGGATCTTTGACGCAGACCCACGACAGGTCGCTATTTGCTCGCACACACGCAGCTTGGCAACCTTGCATGGGTGTCTTTATTTGGTTGCGACACTTGCTTCATTTTAGTACGACTGTCTTCCTTCGTTTGCGCTTCTTCGCTTCATGATTCGTTCGCTCGCTTCCTAATGACGTTACAGTCTCGTTGGCTGCCCACCTGCACTAAGATACATTTCAGCTGTCTCACCAAAAGCACTGCTCTGTAAATAATTTACCGAATGGTGATAGTTCCTAATTATTCTAATCATAATCAGCCATGTCGAATAAAAGCAAAAATTGTTCTAAATGTACAGCTTCCCTTCAGAGGAAAAGCCGAGGGGTAAGCACTTAAGCCGTGCCGCGTTGCTAATGTCTCACACAAGCAACAGTGCGCAGACATTGGGGAATTTCAGGGAACCGTTTCTGCACATCCGATATGGTAGGATGGGCCCTCCGGTACGAACTGCGCATGCGCTGCCACGGAAGACTCGGATATTCATAGTGCGTACTGGAGTGCCGAACTATCGGGTGTGCAAAAACGGTTCCCTCTAACCCTTTCCTGCTTGAGCTTCTTCCTTGTATGACTGTCACATCGGTCCTACTAAAAACCGCCTGCAGACTTGGGGCACGCCTCAAGCTCGATGTGTGTCCGCGGACAGTTCCGTCATCTTTCCTTCAGAGCACACTGTGTCTTTTGCATAATGAGTGACTGCGGCTTTCCACAAGTGAAGGCGAGAGCCATATTTGCAAAGCTGGAGCGCGCCGGACGATGCCTTCGGTTCGGGAGGCGGCCTCTCACCATTATAGAGTAGCTCAGGTGCGCCACCAGGGTGAGGTCTGCCAGAGTGAGCGCATCCCCGACGGCGAATCTGCCGTCGCTCACAAGATGCTCGAGGCCTTTGAGGCCAGTCTCTTCCAGGTCTTGAACTTGCTGTGCCGTAGGCTTCTTCGTTAACATAGCGGAATTTCTCTAGAAAGAGGATGATGATGGCAATTATTTTGTTTCATCGGGGTCTAGACAAGCTTATCACAAAAGCTATCAGACTTTACCGCGCACTTGTTCGCATTCATCGGTGTGTTAATATGCGAGTAAGTTAGACGATACAGTTTTGTTCCGAAAAAGATACCTGGTTAAAAAGACAGTGAAGGCACGTCCACGTAGTACTGTCTGACTACGTGTACTTTGAGGGTGATGACGTGAAGGTCGAAATCGAATTGTGTCGCTCGATTGCCGTGGTGTAACTGGTGGTCGATCATATCTCAACGCCAGCCGCAGAAACGCAGTCAAACGTTGCCAACCACCACTGCGTGAAATAGTGGAAGGGCGAAACTCATTATTGTAACATCTTCGTCAGCGCAAAAGACGAGGTCAAGAAAAGGGCACTAACAAGGTGCAAAAAAAAAAATTGGGTTCTATATATGCTCATACACCTTAGAACTTGGTCTGCCTCAACGGGCGACGATTTTCTTGTCTGTAGATGAGCAATTTAGCCAGTGCAGTACGACAGCTAGCCTGAGGTCTTCAACGTGCACCACGCAGTAGTGATACACGACCGCACACTGGTACGATGCTCATCCAGATCGAAACGGGCAGTGATTAGGATTGGGATTGATCCCAGGATCCTGGGTTCTCCAGCTGAGGTCTCGCTCCATGTGCTCCCAGCTGGTGTGCGCTAGCCCACTCGGCCACAAACACGGTGCTACTTACAACTGAAGCTGCCTTCGTGTTGGCATCCAATGTAAATACTACCAACGAAAAAAAGAAACAAGCAAGGAAAGAAAAAAGCAACACAAAAACTAAAAGGTTAAAATCAATGTACAGGCTATGTGTCATTTACAGCATTGTCGCTGGCTCTTCCCACTCGTCAAAGAAAACGCAGTTCCTTATCTAACAACGACAATGAGGGTGCGCTACCGCACTGTGACTTTAATAATCAAATTATACGAGCCTCTAAGATTTCTCGAGTGATTTTGTTGTTATTACTGTTAAGCACCGCACAATTCTCGAACACAGGTTTCCAATCAGCACATTGCGGAGAAATGTGCACTCCGGAGCTTCTGAGAGTGTAAGCTGAGCACAGAGGACTGATTCAGAGACGCATACGTAGATCCCCTAACTCACGTAGAACTCGTCGTAGCAAGGCTGCACGAAGCTGGTCACCGTTGCCAGAACCTGGTCTACCCTCGCGCGCTTCTGCAGGTCCTTCGGGTACAGGTCGCTGTCCGGTGCGTACTTGTTCAGCAGGTAAAGGCAGATGGCCGTGCTGCGGGGAGAATGGTCGAGTCTGTTGGAACCCTGTCACCTAACTTGGCAAAGCTCTATTTAGCGTTTGGCATTATAAAATTTCCGGTTTGGGACAAGGCGGTTGACGCTTAGAGGCACCTGTGAGTTTTTTATGGCTGCTCTTCGTTTTGTACTAAAAGTGATCCATGCAACCATGGCAAAGAACAAGTCTAGAAACCTATAATCTATGAGAACTTATCGGCAGACTTAACCTTACAGTGCAAATTATGAGAAATTATGTTATGTGGATGTTATTGATAAACGTTTTGGGCAGCCGATAACGATAGCGAAGCGAGTGGTCAATGTAAAGCTGGCAAGCAACGTGACGTGGGCTGGCCTTTGAAGCTATTTCTGTCATACCCGATTCCTCCGGAAGAAAGAAAACACAGAAGGAGGGTGAGCGAAATCCCCTACGCGAAATGATTATGTTTGGACCGCCGTTTTCGTTATAAATTCGTCTTCTGCTGCGTTTTTTTTTTTTTTCTCTTTTCCCATATTTCTGGTTTTTCTAGGTCGTGCTACTTGCTCGCATTTGCGACCTCGCCGCGCACTGGAATCGCGACCACGTCGCGCACCACTGAAACTCAAGGATAACAAAAATTGTGCATGCTTTAAATTCCAAGGATCGCGCTAAGTGAAAATTGAATGCAATGTCCCTTTAACAACCTTACACTCAACAGAACGTCAACGAGCGCGCGTGCATCCTTGCTGCTCCAGTGATTAATTTGTAATTTATTGTAATTTTGTAATTTTGTATGTAATTTTCCGGTTAAATGTGTAAGTTTGGCATTTTAGGTTACGATAAACAAGGTAAGGGTGTGACTGGGAAAAAAGGTTCGCAATATACCTCTCGTAGATCACAAATCCATCGTCGCTAATTGTTGGAACCTTGTGGAACGGGTTGATCTGGAAATTGACAGAAATCCGTTTTTTTTTTATCGCGCCCTCGCGTTTGAAATTATGCAATCATTTTACCAAACAGAAAAATGGGTATCATATGCTGTGATCTGAGCGATTTGACAATTTGTGTTATAAAAAGAGAATCTGAAGAGCAATAATAAATACTAAGTTAACTAACAAAACGTTCAAGCGCAGCTTTTTCCTCTTTCAGAAGAAGGAGAAATAGCAAAGAATGATTCGCCTGGATAAACATTGCCGCCACGTCATGGGGACGGAAGACAAACGTGATGAGCGAAGTTCCAATGCCCAATTTTCAGGGTTGCACCGACATTTTGAAAACTCTGCGGATTCACCCACGTTTAAAAAAAATATTCAAAAATGACTCGGATCTTTTATTTAGGAATTCACTTTTAAAGTGAGACGCGACGGCCTAAAGCCGGGCCACGCTGCTTCTACATCATACAAAAGACAGTCTGCTAATGTCAGTTACTGTAATATCCGTGGGTCGAATGCCGCGTACCAAGATTCTTATGGAACGCATTTCCATAAGCGGCATTCGAAGCTCGGATCCCGCGGTAACTGTCGCTGGAATTTGTTTGGGGACTGCCTTTTGTATGATGTATAAGTGGTGTCACCCCGGCTTAGAGGTTAGCCGTGAAGTGTGAGAGAAGGGTGCACTTGAAGGCGGCGACTGCAATTGCCTCGCATTCAACCGCAGGTCTGACCGGACAAGTTTGTTTACCTTCAGGTACTCGGGGCTTAGATGTTCCTTCTTGAAAAAGTTCACTTCCTTGACGGTGAGCTCCACCCCGATGTGCTTGGCCACCATGCGTACCAATGCGCAAGGCGCTGACAGGGACAGGTTGTAGAGGTCGACGGGCATTCTTGCTGCGAATGCCGAGGGTCGCGAGAGCGGTCAGGGAAAAGGGAAGCTGCTGGCGAGCACTGACGCCCGCACAGTTTTCCGGACAGTCTTTTTTTCGCTTCGAACAACAACATGTGGCGCCCATTGCGGCGCTCTGCTTTTGCGCCCAAGTGGCAAAAAAAAAAAAAAAAAAGATAAGCAAGGTAATTTTTTCATGTTATCCCATGACTACGTGTGCTCGTCTGTGTATGAAACCTGGTGAAAAATTGAGCGATGTCGAGCGTATTAATTTTGAGTCCGGTTGCATACAGCGGAAGATATAAAACGGGTTGAGGATCTTTTTCGATGGTAATTAGTGATAGGACACAGACAGCATAAAACATTATAGGCATGCAGGACGTTTCGCAAGCGTTCACCGACAGTTAGTTCACCAAAGCGATCAACTTCCCAACGATGTGTTGCTTCATCATGTGTCTTTGTATTTCCTGATTTTGTAAGCCTTTGTCATAATAGCGTAGGTACTTATAGCACCGAACGCAGCGAAAATACAAAATTATGAATCGCGTTAATTCTCAGTGTCTGCTCACTTTTTTTTGTGTGTGTGTGAGCATGTTTTATGTGGGCAGGCACGTCGAAAGGCAAGTTCAAAAATATTTCCTTCACGCGCACGCTCAAAGTGCTTGAAAGCAAAGGCAGCCTTAAGAAAAATGTTCTCACTGAATTCGTTGAATACATTTCAAGCTAAGATTTCTCACAACCGACAATCATCAAAACGACCAAAAACAAATACAAAAAAAAAAAAAAAATCTGCGGCTAAGCAGTTTTTAAACTGTGGTGCGTCGGTGCTAAGGCTCGTTCACACTAGGGTGCCTTCATGTGCGCTTCGCATAGGGTGATGCCAACTGCCTGTTTCCCTTTCCCACACCCTCGTCCACCGCCATTTTGTTCCACATTGTTTCCCCGTGCGCCGAAAGGTGGCCTTTCTGTCCATCGGTTCTCCCATCCGAGGGGGGAAATGCTAATCCTCCCTCCGTGGGTTCCACAACGCTGCTCCGAACTTCTGAGATAAGGTGCTTGTTTCCGGGAGGGTTATAAGCCCCACGGATTATCGCCGAGGACCAAAATGGCTGCTGGTTTGTCGGCGAGCGGTATTACAAAGGGTAGCATCACCCTAGCAAAGCGCACATGAAGGCTCCCTAGTTCACACACTTGTAACCGAGAACGACCGAGAGAGGCAAGACCAGTTTTTAAGCCTCTTGTGACTTCTTAGGACCGGATGCGCGGCTGCGGAGCTGGTCCTAAGAGATCGCAAGAGGCTTAAGAACCAGTCTGGTCTCTCTCGGTCCTACTGGGTTGCAAGTGTATTAACGGCGCTTTAGGCAAGGATTTGGGACCAATCGCACGCTTCGTCCTAAGAACGATGTCACAAATAGAAGTCGAGAGTCAAGGGAGCGTAGCAAGCTGTTGTGTATCTATCTCTTGATAAATTTCAAGCAACAGTAAAACATTTGGCGCAACTCTTGGCCTTGATAACGTTTGTAGGCTGGGAGTATGCAGGCTTAGTCATTAACACAACTTCGCTCAAAATTCTGACTACTTGCAGCAGCTCTGCATGGGCGCCGCCATAATCGAACTCTAGTTTTTTTTATTTCTGTTATCTCGTTTACTTCACTTGTGGGAGACAACGAGCCACGCTGAACGTGGATGGACGGCCCCGTGAGCGGCGAGGAAGAGGAGAAAGGGACGCTCGTGGTAGGTGCGCGTGGACAGAGTTCGAAGGGCCGTGACGAACGAAAGAGGCGGTGCTGAACGAGCCCAGGCAAGACCCGGACCCCAGGGCAACCGTGGCCTTCCACAGCATCGACGGCACAATTTGAGTATTTATAAAGTGTTTCTATGATAGCGCTCTTTGTGTGACTTCCTCGGAGCGAGTAGAACTAGGCCTGATCGGGAATTGACAGGCGACCCACATAATTGGCGCTTCCAACGTGGGGCCCGATCAGTCTGCCGTTGTTTTTTTTCGCTCCCGGGGAGTCCCACGAATCACGATTTCTAAGTTTAGGTTTGTTTTGTTTCCCCATTTGAATTTTTTTGTTACTCCGCTGGACATCAGTGTTTAACGTTCTGCCGCCATGTCCAGGTTACGGAATAAGGCCGCCCATCCCGAGGCCTCAACCCAGTCAGTGGCGGATATTGACTCAGACGTGGGAGAAGGCACGAGTGGGGAAGCGAGCGTTGCGGCAGCGCTAGAACCCCCAATTCCGGCGGTGAACACGGGAGACGTCAGCGAACTAATGCACGCCATGACGGCGATGTTCGCGACGTTTTCTAGACAGATGGGTTTGGCCCCAGGGGTGGTGAATCCCGCACCTACGCCCGTGCCTCGCCCGCGGTTGAGCGTGCCGACGCCGACCTATTCGGGCTACTCCGACGCAGCATCGGTTCACGATTTCTTGCAGGACCTAGACGCGTACATTGCCGCGTTGGGCGCGTCGGATGAAACGGCCCTGATACAGATCGTCCCAATCGCGTTGACGGATGACGCAGCGCGTTGGAGGCGAATGCAGAGGCCGTTCCTTTCGATGGCAGATTTCCGGACACGATTCAGAGAGGAATTTCTGCCTCCCTTCGCTTTTGAACAGAGGCGCAGAGCAGCTAACGCGGGCTCTTCCAGGGCGCATCCCCCTAGGGGAGGCGGCGCAGCCGACCACCGCGGAGTCGCGAATCATTACGAGGGTCGCGGGAACTACAATGACCCCCGGCGCGACACTGCTTCGCGTGATGGTAGCGGCGGACGCTCAGCACACAATGGCAGGAGACAGGTCAGGTGCTATAAATGCAATCAGCTTGGGCATATCAAGCGTCAGTGCACATGGACGGCAGCTCCCCCCCATGGTTCTCAGGGAAACGGGAGAGGCCGGCGCCACTAATTGGACTTCCCGACTCGCGGTTGCCGGCCGCTGCCGAGGCCCCTCATCAGTCTGCCAACGGGGCTGGAGTTGCGGTCAGCGACAGGTCGGTGTTTGCCCCGTCGGCATGTCGAACTCAGGATTTGACATCTGAGAAGGGGCCGTACGTGCGCGTCGAGATCGGTGGTAACAGTTACTACGCACTAATTGACACCGGTTCGACTATTTCCCTGATCGGCGACAGAGTCTACGAAGACTGTCGCCGACGAGCACTTCACGTGCGGGAAGTTTCCACCACGCTGCGTTTAGCAGCAGGATCGGCTAGGGCACAAAGCGCTATACGCCTTCACCTTAGCCTCGACGGCAGTCGAAGGAGGCAGCGTTTTCTCTATCTGCCAGGCATGCAAATCCCTGTGATCTTAGGACAGGACTTCGTCTGCCGGGAGGGGATTATCATAGACTTGAAGAATAACGGGTACCACTATAATCCGTTGACTCCCCTTATCCCCTTTGCCGTCCCACCGAGTTTCGGTCAGGACACAGAAAGCTCACTCGTCGGATCACGAGAGGAGCAAACATTAGGGAGTTTTCGTAGATCGTTTTCGCCGTCCCGCAAGGCCCTCCGTAATCCGCTACGATAGCGGGAACTCCACAGTCAAGGCTATCGGCGCGCCGGCGCAGTAGCAACTTCTTCGTTGCGGAACGCTTAGCGGAGGGGGCAACGCGGTCTACGAAAACTCCCTATTAGCTGCGCGAGTCGTATCGGGAAACGTTGAAGCGATTGTCGCTTCTTACAACGGGCCGGCAGAACAACGGCGTAGGTTAGCAGACGCCTTGCATCGACACGCAGCTATGTTTACCGAGAGGCCAGGACTTACAAACATTTTACAACACAGAATCGACACAGGAGATGCTAGACCATGGGGTTGTAATCCCAGACCGCTGAGTGCGCACAAGCGAGCTCTCCTAGATAAGGCTCTCGATGAGATGATAGACACAGGGGCCGTGAGGCCGTCACAGAGCCCCTGGGCTTTTCCGGTAGTCTTAGCGCCAAAAAAAGACGGTACCGCTCGTCTCTGCGTTGACTACCGCCGACTTAACGAGATGACACGAAGGGATTCATATCCCTTCCCATCTATTGAGTCCATCATGTACTCGTTGGGTAGCGCGAGGGTTTTCACTACCTTGGATTGTAGCAGAGGTTTTTTGCAGATCCAGGTAGCACCACACGATGTCCAGAAGACGGCGTTCACCTGTCACAGGGGTCTGTTTGAGTTTATCCGCCTTCCGTTTGGATTGTCTAACTCGCCATCGAGTTTCCAACGGCTTATGGACATCGTGCTGGGGGACGCGAAGTTCAACTTTGCCATGGCATACATGGATGATGTCGTCGTATTTTCAAGGTCATTCGAGGAGCACCTAGCACACCTTGAGATTATCTTAAGCAGAATGAGCAAAGCGGGATTAACGATTAATCCAAAGAAGGTCCAGCTCGCAGCCTCAAGGGTCAACCTCTTGGGTTTCGTCGTAGATGACGGTACCTTGAGGCCGAACGAGGATAAGTTGAGGGCCATTCTTGATTACCCACCACCGCGCGACGCGAAGAGCCTTCAAAGGTTCCTTGGAATGGTCGGTTTTTATCGGCAGTTCATTCCAGGGTGCGCTGGACTCACACGGCCACTGAACCTGCTGCTCCACAAAGGTTCAAGATGGGCCTGGGGCGGAGAACAAGAGGTAGCTTTCTCTTCCCTCACGAAGGCGATAGCAGCCACGGCCAGCCTGTGCCTGCCAGACCTTAACCGTCCGTTCGTGGTACAGACCGACGCGAGCGACTACGGGGTCGGTGCGGTGTTATTGCAAGAACATGACGGACAGCTGCGCCCGGTGGCATTCGCCAGCCGAACCCTTACACCGCCAGAACGCAATTACAGCGTGACGGAGAAGGAGGGGCTGGCCGTCATGTTTGCTCTAAAGAAATTCGACCTGTATTTAGACGGGACCACCTTCGTCATTCAGACAGACCACGCCGCTCTCACCTGGATTCAAAGGTTGAAAGAGCCGGCGGGGAGGTTAGCTCGGTGGGCACTCACTTTGCAGCGATACTCCTATACT